GGGTCTCGGTCGGTGCCCGTTCCGGTTGGAACCTTAGGTCTGATTTTCTCTGAGGAGTAATGTGGGGATGACGCATCCTCCGGGATCCAAAGCGTTGAGTAAAACGGTTTTGTACAAAGAGGTCACCGGAGCCCAGCTGACAGCTGTTCAGTGGTGGCAGGGAGGGGCGTTGGCGGGGCGGGGGGAGGGAGGTTTCCGCCGGACACCCCCACCCCCACCCCGCCCCCGTGGACTGGGGTGAGGAGTGTTGCAAACCCGCGGTCGGTGACGCTCTGGGATTGTCACTAGTTTCTGTGGTTGAGACGAGCCCGCATTCCCAGTCATGTGTTTCTTCTTATTTTAACATGGCCTGAGTCCGTTATTAAAGGAAGACCAACTATTGGAGTAAGTCATCTGTTTTATTCACTAAAAGCATATGCCTGAGAAGGCCGTTAAAATGATGGGCACTGGTCTTTCTCAGTTTCACCCGTCTTTACACAAAGGCCCTCCCGGAGGGTAACTCACACAACTGGCAGTATGTACTGTGTTGGTGCCAAGTGGTGTAAAAGCACAATGCGTTAGCATCGCCGATGTAAGATTATGTTACTCTTAAAGAACATTTCGCTGTAACATTTAAAATCTTAATGACATTTGTTTACGGGTGTGGGCGCAGAGGTCACAGGAGACTTCCTAGAGTTGGTTCCTTCCACTATGTGAGTCCCAGTGCTCCAATTCAGGCTCTTGTTTTGGTGGCAAGTACCTTTACAGTCTGAGCCACCTTGACTGCCTACTGTGAACCTTTTGAGAGGGCTTTCATTTGGGCTGCAAGCGAAAATAGATAAAAATACGAAAAGCTTCTCCCAGACTTTATAGAGGGAGAAAGAAAGGCTTGTCTAAAGAATACTTGATGCTTGACAGACGTACTCATCAAATTCCCAAGGCTGTACAAAACAGCTCGACTCAGGACAGGCTTTAACTGTGACTAGGTGTTCTGTTTTGGAGAAAGGAAACCAAAGGGTTAAGTGTATTTGTAGAAGGGTTATCAGAATTGAAAGTTGAAAGCCCTTCTCAGTTTCCTACAGTATCTGTACTTTAAAGTCATTAACACAGTTGATGGACTAAGCAGAGCTGAAAGCAGTGGGAATCTGGGTGTGTTTGAGGAGGAGTTAAGAGAGCTATAGTGAAAGAGCTCAGTGGCTGAAAATGGTTTGTAGTCTTGGTATTGGTTTTTTTGTTTCTTCTAAGACAGAGTTTCTCTGTGTAGCTTTGGCTGGCCCAGAACTCTGTAGACCAAACTGGCCTTGAATTTACAAGAGATCAGCCTGCCTCTGCCTTCCAAGCGCTGGGGTTAAAGGTCGCTGCCGCCCGGCCGCCGCTGTCGACCCTTTGCTACTGGTTCTCTAATATCCAGGAAAGAATAATGGCTGAACTTTATATGGAAAAGAGGAGTAAACTGAGAGAGATGATTTTATCAAAATTACAATGTTGCTGGGCGATGGCTTGGGTAGTAGAGGGCCTGCCTACCATGTTGGAAGCATGGGTTCTGACCCCAGCATCAAATGAACCAGGCTTGACAGTCCACAGCTACAGTGTCTGCACACCCAGCATTCAGGAGGTGCAAGTAGGAGCATCAGCTCAAAGTTGGGTTAGCAATGTGACTATCATTAAAGGGAAAAACATGAGGACCAATTCTCCCACTGGGGAAGCAGAGGCCAGGAGAGTCCCTGGGGCTGCCTGGCCACCCAGCCAGCCAGATTGACAGGCTTCAGGTTCCATGAGAGGCCCTGCCTCAAAAAGATACAGTGGAGGGCAATCGATGGTGTTGGCCAGTAGCCTCCAAACATGCATTACACATGCACACATCTGCCACTGCTACACACACACACACACACACACACACACCCCTACACACACCTACACACGTGCACCCCTGTGCATATGCACACAAAAACACATCTACCAAAGAAGTTTAGCCTACGTGGTGAGTTCTAGGGCAGCCTGAGAGCCATCGTGACGCCTTACTTTCCCCATAGAGGTTAAAGTGACTGACAGTTTCTGAAGTGGGGTGGAGAGACAGTAGTCAGTTGGGATATTTGAAAAGGAATATATTTTTTTTAAAGTATGAGGTTTTTCTTTAACTGATTAGTAGTTAAATTTTTCTTTCTGTTTCTGATTTTCAAGACAGGCTTTCTCTGTGTAGCCCTGGCTGCTTTGTAGACCTGGCTGGCTGTGAACACAGAAATCACCTACCTCTGGCCTCCCAAGTGCTGGGATTAAAGGTGTGCACCACCACATCCCACGGTTACTTTTTCTTAAAATTTTTTTTTTTTTTTTTTTGAGACAGGGTCTTTCTCAGGCTGGTTTCCAATTGACAGCATAATTCAGAATGTCCTTGAAGGATCCTCTTATGTACTATACCTTTTAATTAATTAATTAATTGATTTTTGCAAGCACTCAACTGAGTTACATATCAGCCCCCTTTCCCCCCCCTTCCTTTTTTTTTTTTTTTTTTAAATTTATTTTTGGTTTTTCGAGACAGGGTTTCTCTGTGGCTTTGGAGGCTGTCCTGGAACTCGCTCTTGTAGACCAGGCTGGTCTCAAACTCACAGATATCCGCCTGCTTCTGCCTCCTGAGTGCTGGGATTAAAGGCGTGTGCCTCCCTTTTTAAATGTTACTCTTTAGATATTTAATTTGTTTTTATTTCATGTGCATTGGTGTTTTGCCTGCATGTATGTCAGTGTGGAGGGTGTCAGAAGCCCTGGAACTGGAGTTACAGATAGGTGTGAGCTGCCATGTGGGTGCTGGGAACTGAACAAGGGTCCTCTGGAAGAGCAGCCAGTGCTCTTAGTCACTAAGCCACCTCTCCAGCCCCTTAAAGGCTTGTTTTCAATTATGTGTCTGTGCAGGCATGTACAGGAGTGCCAGGTGTCTCCAGAAGGCAGAGGTGCTGGGGTCTCTGGTGGCTGTGAGCCAGCAGATGTGAGTGCTTGGAACCAGACACAACCCCCAAGGCCCCCCCCCCAGTACTTCAGATTATAGGCTTCCCTGCAGTTTTCAGGAAGTGCATTAACTTCAATCTGAAAAGAGAATGGTTAGTAAGGTTAGTCACTTCTGTCTGTCATAGGAAGTCTAAGCTACACCAGCAAATACGATGCTTAAGGACATTGGAGTAGCATCAGTTAGGTAGAACTTCCCTTATACTTGCAGTAGGTTGCTTCAGAACTGTCTTTCTGATTGGGAATATATTGCTAATGTATCCTGTGTTATGTGCAGGTGCATTTGGAGAGTTCGTGTTAGAACTATAAGTGAATTCATGTTTTCTCATCCACACCCTTCATTGTTCAAATGAAGAAGTAAAAGCTTAGTAAGAAGGTACATGAGTTACAGTTGTCTGCCTTAGTGATTTGTCAGGTTTCTTGCTGTGAGATGCTAATTTGTCCTTTATTTAGGAATAGCTTTATGAAGTAGAAGAAAAAAGACCTTGAATTGTAACTGAGAAGGCCTAGATTTAAGTTCTTTGTCACTTTTATTTTCCCTGACAAATCATGAACAGTCAGAACCTTGCATTTTTTGTCTACCTGTAGGGTCTGTAGGTTGCCTGCTTGGAGTGTGTGAGGCCCTGTTCAGTCAGCACCGTCACTATCGCTAACAATAATAACAATGATAATAATAACAATAGCTATGATAGTAACAGCAATGATAATTTTCTGCACGGTTTGCTGGTCAGAACAAATGAAAGTACAGCAGGAAGCACACTGAACACTGAGAACTTTTATACAGACAGAATGTGGTCATGCTATGTTAAAGACAATGTAGTTCTCAAGTGTAATAAGATGCTTCAGTCCCTAGGTTTTTTGCTTAACCCCAGCTTTATTATTTTCTGCACCTGCTATTTTGAGGATTATAATTCCTTGTAGATACGTTTTTCCCAATCCCTACTTAGTTCTAATCTTGGTAAAGCGGCTTATGAACACTCTAAATATTGCTTTACCCCACCCCCCCCCCCCGCCCGCCCCATTTCTCCAGGAGAATATAAAGTTGCTTCGTACAGCATTTGAAAACATTCTTGTTATACACTCATGCATGCATAATTTGTTTCCTTAGCAGACAATGGCTCTTTAAAAGCAATAGTGAAAGTATCATAGTAGTGATGTTAATTTGTCTCTTGATGGTTTCCAGATATGGCAGTGGCAGGAAGTAAATTTCCTTTATAAACTGGTTTTTGAATAGTTCATGTTTTTTGGTCATGCAGTGATTGTAAAGTGATTAAAAATGCTGTGGTGGCTCATGCCTGTAATCCCAATGCTTAGGAGGCTGAGGTGGCCAGCTAGCCACAGCATGATTAGAGGTCAGTCTTTGTTATAGTGAGACCCTGCATAAATATACAGAATATGCCCTAACTTCTCTCTCTCTCTCTCTCTCTCTCTCTCTCTCTCTCTCTCTCTCTCTCTCTCTCTCTCTCTCTCGCGCGCACACACACACACACACACACACACACACACACACACACACACACACACACACACACACACACACCCACACACACATGTCTTATGTAGCCCTGGCTGACCTGGATTTCACAATGTAGACCAGGATGGCCTTGAACTCACAGATCCATTGTCTCTGCCTCTCTTATGTTGTATTTGTTTTTTATTTAAAGTGCACATCTTTTCTAGTGTTCATTTGATAGTGAAAATCAATAAATTGGTGTTACAATGTTGTCTACATTATCAGAGTATTTCTAACCTTGAACATAAAAAGTATTGATTATTAGCCAGGAGATGGTGGCACACCCCTCTAATCCCATCAGGAGGCAGAGAAAGGGAGATTTCTGAGTTGGAGGCCAGCCTGGTCTACATAGTGAGTTTCAGGATAATCTAATTTATTGAGTGCTTTGTGGGAGTCTTTGTTCAGTGTTTAAGTGTACCATTTCAGATGATTTTCATAAGCCTATTACAAAAACATTGTTCTAAGGCTGGGCGGTGGTGGCACGCCTTTAATCCCAGTACTCCGGAGGCAGAGGCAGGTGGATCTCTGTGAGTTTGAGACCAGCCTGGTCTACAAGAGCTAGTTCCAGGACAGCCTCCAAGGCCACAGAGAAACCCTGTCTTGAACCCCCCCCCAAACAAAAACAAAAAAATACTGTTCTAACATAGCAAAGTGAGTTGATGCTATGCATAGTTATGAGATGTTAAGTGCTCACAAGCTAAGTAGTAACAGCTTCCTTGTGTGTCTTAGCAGTTTCTGTCTGGTCTCTAGTTAAGAGTGGTTAGCTGTTTTTGAAGAGCTTTAATTTAAGGTAATATTTATTAAGTTTTAGACTTCATGAAAAATGCCTGCGGCCAGTTGTTCTACCATCTGGGTGGCCGGAAAGGAAAATGAAAATAAGTGTTTTATAAAAATA